GGGTGCTAAGATCTAATGCGCCCCCTTCCATTTTTGGTGCTGCTTGCTGTTCATTGTGCTTCTGAACCGCACTAGATAATGAAGGACCTCTCCGCAACGATGTAGATCCAGGCGTACCACTCACTCGTACAATTCGTCGCGGGTAGGTAGGGCTATTTTCACGGCTCCCAAGCGGCGATTGCTTCCCCCTGGTAGATGATCCCAATATACCTGCACTTTCCACTCTTGTGTGTGTCGTTTTAGGAGCCTCTGGTGTCGTACGAGCAGCGATTGGAGTTTCAACAACTGAGGCCTCGTCATCTAGTAAAGCTTTTGTCAGGGCACTCAATTTCATCGGCATCGGAATTTCGTCGTCGGAGCTGTCGTTGAGCGAATAATGTCGAGCTGGTTCGACATCCGGCCTGGTAGAAGAGGGTCGGGTAGGAGCTGGTTTATATGCATTTCGTGAGGCAGGTCTTCGGATAGCTGCAAATTGACTCGACCCCATTGGGGTGGGTGAAGCTGTCGCCATTGAGGCGATGTGATGGAAGATAGGCAGTGAATCGAATGTCGATATTTGTGCGATATGAATCAAAAATTATGTAATCTGGCTCCAATTTATTACATCCTCTATTCAAGCAAGATAATGTCAGAATCGGGGGAAGATGCGCGTAAAAGATGGCGCGTGAGGTTTTTAATATGAGGTTGGGTATTTCTAGGTTCTTTTTTCGCGGGTGAAATTAGATTTGATTGTTTACATGGCAGGGCAACCGTAACCCGGGTAGGCAACCGGAAGATCCCGCACAATTTAGAGCTTCCTTCTGGTTTTATACACACTTGAATCACGCTTCAAGCTGTTATTTAAACCATGAAAAACAATTGGAGGCTGTAAGCTGTTTTCAACATCTCTATGAAAAAGTCTCATAGATTTTCTAATTCCTTCAACGGTTGTTCCATCAAAGATTTCCTAAACTTATCATTGTCTCTGTCCATATCCTGCGAGTAAACAGAGACACTGTCCCGGTAACAGATATACTCCACAAAATACTAACAAGGCGGGGTACACGACTTATCCTCCTATCATCATCATGCTCATCATGAATCCGGTTCACATTCTGTGCTTTGGCAATTCATTAACACATGGGTGGCCATCCAATCATCCATACGCTCTCGCATTGGAGGATACTTTCCAAACCTCGTCACCCTATATCTCGATAAAAACCGATGTTCAAGGATTACCTGGAGATCAAGTTGTTAGTCCTCCTGGACACTACTTACCAAGACTAGATATCTTGTGTAAGTGATCCTCTGTTCTACATTCTGGTTGCGTTTGTGACTGTGCTGTGACTACCTATATACCCTATATAACATTACTAACCCGTACCAGACAATGAGATCGAAGTACCTTATGACTGGATGGTCGTATTAGGAGGTACTAACGATCTAACTCAAAATCAAGATGTTGACATCGTCTTTGAATATCTGATGAAAGTCTGGGATTACGCTCTTTCTCGAGGAACTCAAGTCTTGGCCTTGACCATCCCAGAATGTGGTACTTGTAGACCAGAACTCGATCAGCGACGAGATTATCTGAATGGTATGATTCGTGCTCATCAGGCTGAAAATTTGTGAGTGTGTACTTTGTGAAAACTTGCGGCAAATGCTGAGTTGCCATCTAGTCATGTGCTGGATCTTCATGATGCTATACCGTATTGGAGAATGCCGGAAGAGGAACGTAGACGAATCTGGACCGATGGCTTACACTTCACAGAAGAGGGCTATGATCGGATGGGGTCTTTGATTGGCGTTGAACTTCACAGATTGATGTCTGTTAGAGGACCGAAAGTTGGACAAGGGCAAAAATCTTTGATGCTCCAGAAAAGCTAACACTCCGAGCAGTGGTCGATAGGTATACAATATCCTGATGATGGATGAGGCTAATGGCTTGAGTCAAAGCTCAAATGTAAATGAAATGCACCATTATAATTGACAAAGAAAGCAAAACGTAGTACTCGTCGTGCTTTTAATGATTATGTTGATCTATTTTCATTATTATCATAAATGTCATGGTAAACATCGTCACTCTGAACTCCTCTATTGGTATGCAGTGACCGCACCTAACGCCAGGCTTGTATCGTGTAATTCATTTCGCATCATCCCTATTATCATACCACCAGATTTGCAGCGACGAAGTCCTTAACCCATATTAGCGGTGTCAACAGGTAATCTTCAGTTCTACTCACCGGATAAACCAGCTGCAACTCAGAAGTCACTTTCTCAACTTCTTCGGCCAAATTTTGAACGTTAGCATCCCATCTTCTCAGTTCCCTCCCAACAATCCCTTCCGATCTACCGCTACCTTTCTCTCCAGTAGCCTCTCCGCCCTCAAACCAAATGACCCTCTCTACTTGATCAATCCTACCGACTAATCGACCTTGTTCAATCATGCTTGCGGTAGTTTCCTCGGCCTTGTCTCCGTCAAGATCCAATATCTCCCCAAGAGCCTCGAAGCGGATATTGTTGTATAATCTCGACGCAGCTCTTAGGTTGTGCTCTACAACTGCCCTTTGCAAGACAGTGGTACCATCTGAGGTCTTTGCGAGTTGATGTGTAGCCAAACCTTCTGCAAACTTAGACACTTCTTCAGGAGACAGTAAGCGATCTAGGAACATCTTTTCCAAAATACTAAACTCGTCTAAACTAGCAGCTCGCTCATCCTTATACAATCTGCCTAAAGCACGGCTTCGAAGCGGACCCGCAGGCGCCAGGACAGCACACTTAATGGCCATACTGAGTGTGTGCAAACGTTCCTCCTCGGCGATGACAGGCAAAAAACTAATATCCTGGTAGCCTTGAGCCGCAGCAAGGAAATTCCTCCTGGCATCGTGGATGCGTGCTTGACTGAGTTGAAAATGTAGGTTCAGATCACGGTCCTCGACCGTATATATAACATTCTTAGCTTTGTTCAGGTATTGCTCTGCGAGCGTTGTATCGTCCACCTCGAGATAGTTGCGAGTAATACGAATCCAACAACGAACTTTCTCCTCATTTGTGACTTTTCGTTGCGATGATTCCAGAACGATACCAGCTAATATTTTAGCAGCTGCGAGGTTATCCTCGTCGTCTTCGTACGCTGTGGCCATCAGCTCACGTATTTGCGCATTTTGCTCTTCGAATGAGGATGCTTGTTCACTAAGTGTCGATAAAGCATGTTGACCAACTTGAATCTTGGCTTCATTATTATTTACGGCTTTGAGTGCATCGACAAATGATACGATCACGGATCGAGTAGCAACTATGCCTAAAGCATCTGCAAATATGGCATCGAAAATGGCGATTAAGTCGTCAGGTAACTCTGCTGGTGTAGATGTAAATTGAGCGTTTGAAAGAAGGGTAGTGTAGCCTTGTTGTTTTTCCTCTGAGCTTGCAATTTGCTGCATAGCTTCCGCTATCTTTTGAGATACCATGATCAATAAAGTTAACTTGATTGTCTTAGCACTGTGGAATTGTGTAAGAAAACTTTCAAGTTTATATTACTGCTCGAGGCTGAGGTTATGATGGTTGTTAAGGAGATGGAGCTTGAGGTGGGGTGGCCGGGGAGCTTCTGGAAGGCTACTGTTAAGCTCGGATATTTTATGGGCTAGTTTGAGCCAACGATAGTATCTCGAGAGTACCTACCTACCTCGCGTGCCTACCCAGTGATATCTAATCTCTATGTTGTACCAAACTCACTTTCTCGTTTCTCATTTCGAGGAACACGCCGTGAAGCTTATTATACTGCAGTAGAGAGAATTTGGATGCAGACAAGTCACCGAGTATTGTAACAATTAACACATGAAAAATTCCTTCGATGCCCAAAAGCCTCAGTTCTGAAGATCATATCGTTACAAGTGCAGACGATATGATAGAGACGATTTTTCGCTGAAAATCAATACTTCTGACTACTTTATGGATCGCTCGGTACTTTACTCGAGCGGCAATTATTACATATTGGTGTTGGTGGAGCTTTACCTATGCTTTGATGGGAGAGACAGACGATGTCCTGAGATACCACTGCGTTGAGTGTTCGGTGCCAGGGATTGAGGGATTGAGGGATCGAAGGATTGAGAATAGTGACGGATCAAACACCCTCACTATATAATCGTTAGCACCTAGAAGTTTTCAAAGTTGGAAGACGGCTCACAATAATCTGCGCCAAGATATCAAGGGATTGACGTGGGTATGATGGAACTGGGGCTGGGAAGGAAGATGAGATGGAGAGAGAATGATAGAAGAGGAGAATGAAAGGATGTGAGAGGGAAATAGAAGGACGTACTGAAGTCCGAGTAGACAAAGTTGTCTGAATGATAGTTTTTCTTAATAGCCTCGATATTTTTCGGTGAAGTTTGACATAGCCATGCATGTGTTTCATGATATAGTAATGATCACCATCACCATACTTTCTAAGCTGCACGTCACTGGGGTGTTTGTGGAGAGGCTTTATTTTCACTGTGGAAAAGCTGCCCTGGAAGTTTGATAGAAGACTTATTGATTTCGTCAAGGGGATAGGAGACGAAAATCACAAACACATTTGTAATATTTGAATGGAATTCATATTTCCAGTTCTTTTATTCATCCTTATCGCCATTTATTGGACAATGGTTAGATAGCCAACAGGCGAGCATCCGAATCTGCAGCCAAGCAAAGCCTCTCTAAATTGATGAAACACTGTTCTATGGCTTAATGCACCCACCTTCTCGATTCATGTTCGCTCCGTTTTCCGTCCTTATGATCGATAAGCCAGCTGAGTGTTAGGTTTGAGTGGGGTTAAAGCTTTCTATCTCATGCAATATTGAATGATGGTACTGCGTGGTAGAGAAGAGAAGGGGAGAGGGATGAGATTTAGAAGCAAAGTATATAAAGCCACAGTATTTCACATCATCAAAATTTCGTGTCAAATCTTCACTCGTCTGCTTCGAGTCCCTTCTCACTGCCGTCTTCCAATAATCACAGTGGTCTCGATGTCAGATTTCTCTACTAATATGTCATACAGAGAAGACGGGTCAGTCCTTCTAGAACTGCCGATGGAAAATAATAATAACAACACCAACACCGCTGCTCAACCTACAATGCCGCCGCCAATCAATCCATCACAAGTGCCGTTCCCGACACCTTGAATCCCAGGAATTTTGGTCTCGAGTTGAAAGCCGTTGGGATTGAGGATGGAGAAGATATCTCAATGACTACCTCGTCCACAAATGACAACGGCGATGATGGGCCACTTCTTTCCGGGCGATCGTTGAATAACCAGAACAATAACAACAGGACTGACCCTCGCCAGAACAGTGTTCAACAACGTCCCGATACCTTGCACCCTACGAACATTGCTCTTGAGCTCGAGTTCCCTGGGGAGAACGAACTATTGATATGGACAATCTATCCGTCAACAATGGCAGGGATGGACCACTTCTTTTCGTATTATCACCAGATAACCAGACTGTTAACGATGACTCAACTGCTCCAGGTGCTTGTAACAGCGAAAAGCCAAAAGCCGATGCCTTGGATCTTACAGATATCGTTCTGGAATTGGATGCAACCAATGATGTTCCTCTTGGGTCGGAGACAACTACGAACGTGTATGAGAGATAAACAATAGTTGTGAATTGGAATCATCGATTCTGGATAATAAGCCAGCTTTTGAAGATGCTGTCATGGAAACGGGCCGTGATATTGTGGAAATCAGATCCGGAAATTTGAGTTATATCGTATTGGAGATATGGGAGTCACTTTAGTTGTTTGTGGAAAGGAGATTATACTCATAAGAATTGCATTCTCCTCGAAAGGATGTTGCCAATAGTCTTCTTGTCTTCTCGTCTTCCTGAAGATAAATCCTGAAGCTGAAAAGGTTCAGATATTAGCATTAATTTAAGGCTGTTCAATTCCTGTGGTTGAATTCATCAAGAGTGATCCGTTGACCCTCACAAATAAAAGACCTGGTGGTGTCTCTTTATATGCTGTTTCCAACAAGGCAGAGCAGTTTTGGAGAGACGATGGATGAACCCAACCCCTTACTATCCCGAGAAGAAGTTCTTGAACGCGGACTAGTTTAACATCTTAAGCTTAATACTGCATTGGATCCAATATCACAATTGATGAATATATATTTAGGCTCGATATGAATTGAGTTCAATATTGTGTTTAACAAATAGCATATTAACCTTACCTAGCTAGGTAGGTAGTATTTCTAACAGTTAAATATGGTATGAGAAATTAAACGATCTGAATGCGCCCTAGATAATTTCTCTTGTCTACTACTCAGATAGGTAGACACTAGTTTACAATAGACTTCGTCTACTCTCATGTTGATTTTATCTGATGGTGAAGTCAGAGTCGATCAGGAATATAATGCTACAAAAAATGATCATGAGCTTGCTTCCCCTGCATCTTCATTGTACATCTAGGGCTGAAACCGGGCCTATCAGGGTGACAACGATAACAGTCACCCGATTTAAGTGTTGATAGATGGATGCTATTTCGTATCATTCCCTCATACAGCGACAATGACGGTACTGCGCATTGCCTATCATACAATCCGAAAAATACCGCTTGCTGCAATTTTATATGAGAAGGTGTTGTTCAAAGTACCCCAAACTACCAGATTGTTCGGAGTCTTTCTACACACTCCGTTCCGTACACGATTATCTGAATATCATCACAGGATATTTCCTCTTCCCGTTCCCCATTCGTTGCTCTGAAACATAAGAAAGTATTCTTTTAGCTTCCCTGGTAGATTTGACGTGCAGTAGTACCGTTGCTAAGACAGTGTAGCATGAAAGACCAAATCTGATTGGCTATAGATTGGTGTAAACAAACAATCCTGATTAATAAAAATGTTCCCCTCACAGCCTTGTTAAATTCCCCTGAATCTTCAAGACCCTTACCTACCCACCTTTGTATGGATATCTTATATTTACGAGTACGGAATATAACACATATGATTGAGAGAGTAATAATAAGTCATACATATACATATATACCTATACCTATACATCGAATATTAATGTTGGTATGAAAAACTTGTTATTGTTAGGCGAAACTGTATTCACCAAAATTAAGTGACGCGGCAACAATAATTATAACAGAAGTCGCGAACCTGTAAACATACAACCATCCAACCATCCATCCATCCATCCATCCATCTATCCTCCTTCCTTTTCCTCCTCTCCTCTTCCACAAAAACTCCCCTCCTCATATCCATACTTTACCAACAACAATACGTTACCGAATCTCATTGAAGCTCACGTAATCTGAGACATCTTGATCTCTCATAGTCGACCACAACTTTCTTCTTTGCATCAACCTGCATCTGTTGTGTATTTCATCAGAAACCATCGCAATATCAAAAATGTCACTACAATCTGCTTATAAGCAGTTTCTAGTTTCCCCCAACCCCTCCTTACTCGCAGCTGATGCCTCCCTTCATTTCATTACAACTCTGGTCACTGTTCATGGAGCTTCTGATGTTGTCAAGCATTTAAATGGACAGAACCATCAACTCGAGAAGAAAGAGGAAACCTTCCTAAATACTGTAGAAGGAACCTCCTCCATCGCCGCAGAAATCCACACAACCATTGAATTCAAGACATCCGGAGGATCCTATCTACCTGGACTGGATGACAACTTTCTCGCTGATCGCACAGTTACCTTTCCAATCGTAAGTTTGGTCCTGTATGTTTTGAATCTACCTACCCGCATACTAACAATGGCAGATCCATATCGTAAGTTTCGATGCCAACGGAAAGATCCAACAAATTCGACAGAACTGGGACCAGGGATCACTTCTTAAATTGATTGATGTTATCGGAAAGACTGGACGAAACTGGCCAATCCGGGATGGAAAGGATCAGATAAAGCTCATCGCATCAAGCGTCAAAAACACTGGTACGTTAGATGCTTCTTCGAACGTGGATCCGCTCGCTCGTGCCAGAGGTAACTCCAATAATGTATTGCGCGACCCGCACGCAAGCCTTTCCTTGTTTACTCCCCGTGAAGATACTGGATCCAAGTCCCGTCCGGCCGAAGTCCCAGCCAGTGTATCCGCAAAGCCAGCACCTCGGGACTATGATGATCTTTTTATTAACAAGAATTCCTCGACTGACGATGTTCTTTCTCCTCCAAAAGCAGGCGCTTCCAAGAAATTCGCACCATCTCGACTATTCGATGCCGATGAGGATGAAAACACCCTAGATAGCCCTGTCCGCGAGAAGTCGAAGGACCCCATGTACCGCCCAAATCCAGCTAGGTATGAACACTTCGATATCACCGATGGCCCCGAGGAAGAGGAATCCATTCGACCCCCAACTGGCAAGGGTGGCAAGGGTCAACATCAAAGTCAATGGGGCTTTGATGATTTCCAAACACCACAAAAGGCTGTTCCTACTAAAGTTCTTCGCGCAGCTGAAGTTCGCCATTGGGGTAACAGTGATGATGAAGTCTTAGATAGTCCAGTCAAATTCAAGAAAGCCGAAAAACCTCGCAAGGATGCTCAGACTCATTTTGAGTTCCAAGACGACGCCACCCCTCAGAAGGATCGTCGTATCGTTGGAAACCCTCGCGGGCAAGGACACAACAATGGACTTGGGCTCTACAAAGACATTCTATTTGGTGAGAATGGAGGTGATACACCAGCAAAGAAACAAACTACAGGTCTTACAAATGCCAAGGACAGAACCAAGGACCTTAATCATTTCAGCATGGCTGATGAATCGCCAGTAACTGAACAGGCTCCTACTCACATGGCAGGAGATAGGGCCAAGGCTGTGAAGATGATGGATGCTAACTGGGACACATACGATGAATCACCTATTGAGAAGAATGCCAGAAAAGAGAATGACCCTTCTTCACCAAGTCGCTCCAACTCTACCAAGGAGCCATTGTCTGAAATTAACACGACTTCTAAGCGCAACCAGCAAAATACTGGTATCAAGACAATGGGTGATGGAATGGGCGGTAGCAAAGGTGCAGGTAGAAGTTGGGGTTTCGGAGATGATTCTGATGGAGAGGAAGCAGGTGGCCTCAACGGTGTAGGAAGCAAATTCCGCAGTGGTCGTCCTGGCAAAGCCCAAAATCAAAAAGCTACTGGTGGTGACTTCTGGGATTTCTAAGTCATAAACTTCGGAACTGGATTGAGTTGTTGACTGGCTTGTTAAGCACGTATTATGAGGGATGAGAATCATGATCAGACAATATTGGCTTCGATTTTATTTACGCTTTTTGATGCGGTAGAATTAGGTGTTGACAAGGTGTTTTCAATGGATTATCAGTCACTGTGCGATTAAGATGATTTATCTGTCTGGTTTCGTTTTTTACATTTTCTGAAGTGTGTTATCTTCTACTTTGAGGGAATGGGGATTGGTTTATTCGTGTTTCTTTGCAAATGCGCATGGTGGTTTAGTGTAGTTGAGGAGTAGAGGGGAGGTGAGAGCATACCAACCGGGAACAGAATCCGTTGAGTGTATTTGTTAGTATTGTGTATTCCTTTGGCAGCTACCTAGGTTCATTACGGAGATATCAAAAATTGCAATGGATTTTTTTATTGATTTCAAGGTGGCATTCTGATCGGATTTACTTGTATCGCTCAAATGATCTGGCAAGTGGAAATTTATTCGTCTATCGCGTGGCATGTCATGTCAGTAAAGTGAAAGTATTATAATGGTGAAAATTAAGCTAATTCATTACTTTTAAGCTTTGTAGGTATGAGGTAACTGTTTACCAAACCTGACCTAGGCGTCTTCTCTCTATCGTCTATATGCCAGGCAAATGCCAATGCAAATTCTAAAATCTCCTAATACATCCATCCATCTATCATGAATTTACCCGTCTGTAGGATTTCTTCCTTACAGGACCCTCTAATCGTTCCTCGCTATCTATGCTCGACGCTCGCTCGTAATCAAATACCATCTTCCTTCTATATGCACGCTCCCGCTAAATATCATGAATCCTCTCTTCTTTTCTTCTCTCCTCTCTTTCTATATACTATACACAATTCCTCTTTCCTCTCCCCGCCTCAAACCAAACCAAATCTAAATCCCTGTAAAAGCCCGTCGAGGCGGTCCCCCGATCTTCCCCACCGTCGGTAACTCCCCCCTTTCCCTCCCCCCATCACTCTGCACCGCCTGCGAACTCACCACACCCGACCGTGGATCAATTCTCCCTCCTGGACTCGGATTCGCGGTCGAATATCCCGATGTTTCGGGTATATCTCTCAACTCACTACTGTGAATGTCTCTCCCCTGCGAATGCAACCCCGCTTCCAACTCATCCAAACTCGTCCCATCTTCATCTACCGGTCCGCCACCTCCCGAAAACTTTCCTCTCCCGCGCGAGAAGAATCGATTGCGATGGGTGCGCGTGCTATTCGCCGACGTGACTTTAGCGAGTTGCGAGTCGCGGGATTCCCGCGTCGATTGGCGCGCGAGACTCTCATCGCGGTCTCGCGATTGTCCTTCCCGGGATTGGCCTTCGCGACTGGGGCGCGAGTGGGGGCCAGGAGAGGGAGAGGTGAAGGTCACGTCGGGGATGCGCACGCGCGGTTTGTCGTCGAAGACGTCGCCGAGGTCCATGCCGGAGGACATGCCTTGCATGCCGAGGGAGAAGTCGACGCGCTTGTTCATTGCGGAGAGGGATTCGCCGCGGCGACGGGCGTTGGATTGGGAGCCTGAGGCGCGGCGGCGGAGGATGGAGGGGTGTGGGTTTACGCCTGGGGCGTGCTGGGCTCCGGTTTGAGGTTCATATTCGCCCGTGTGTGGGTTATCGCGTGCGAGAGATCCCGAGCGGGGACCCGGTCCGGATCCTAGATCTGAAGGGTCGGGGTTGGGGTTGTAGGGAGGTGGATAGGCGCCATTGAGGAAAACGGGGTTTTCTTGAGTGAAACCTGCGAGACGTTGGCGTGGACCTTGGATTCCTATATCTTCCATTGCGCAAATCATGGCGATGATGAATTTGTTACGACGTTGAAGACGCAATAATTCGTTTTGCCAACTGGATTTGTAGAAGAAGACGACGTTGAAGGTGATGGAGTAGTTTTCGTAGATGGTTGTTACTTCGGTGATGATCTTGCCTTGGTATTCGCGCTTCTCGGATTGGACGAACTTGACGAGTTCTTCGCGGAGTCGCTCGAGTTGTTCGATGGAAGTGCCGAATTTGACAGTGATAGGAACGGCTTCGGCGAGACCTCCTGAACGACGCTGATTCAGGATAAAGAGAGTGTTGAGATAACTGTTTGGGGCTTGTACAACATGACCCTCCATCTTTTTGAATTCGGTGAAGAGGAGTGAAATTTCCTTCACGAAATAATCATCTCCTTGTAACTTGGATCCAGTATTTCCGTAAATCGTAACTCGGTCACCAACATCGAAAGGATGCTTGACGAAAACGAAGATGATCGATTGCAGAAACTCTTGAGCAGTTGCGGTGAACAACCAAGAAAGAGCCAAGACAGACGAACCAGCTGATGTTAAGACACCAGATGCAGAAGTAGAAATCAAAGAGATGAATACCAAAATGGTGATGACTACAACGATAAACAAGAGTATATCATCGAGTTTGCTGACAACCGAGTCCAAATCCTTGAGGGAAGCAGTGATTGCTTTTCGTTCTCGTCCAATTTCAACACAAACTGTTTCGAGTTCCTCCATCGAGATATCACCGTTCAAATCTTTATCGAACATGGTAAATGCTGCCTCGGCTTCTTCTTCGTTATCAAAAGCTAGTGTTAGATCCTCCGCCAGAATAGTTTCCATGTCGTCGTGTGCAAAGGTTCGGTAAAGTCTTCGAGCAAGTACCTGAGATCCGGTCGTCGTGTTAAGAAGTTGAAGAATTCTAAAATGTACAATTAGCATAGTTGAGATACATAGCCATGGGAACTCTTACACTTGATGTGGGTGAGTACTTGATGTGACAGCTCTTCCCGTAAAATCTCCAGCTACTTTACCAGCTACATCTCCAACCTTGGTAAAGACATTCTTCGCATTTTTCTGAGCCTTGTTGACATAAGCCATTGGAGTACGAGCCCCCGATTTAACACCTGCGTTCCCACTACGGTCCTCAAAATCCTCATCTTTCTCAAGAATCTTTTCCTTGGAATATTTGTACAACTTGACCAAACTCTGGATTTGAAATTTGTTGATCTCGATTCTATCGGCGTATGTTCGCAGGTGGAAACTGATGGCAATGAGTTGAATGATGATTTTTTCGACGAAGTTCAAGGTGGCTCCGACAAGCACCGATACAATGATCTTATTGCAGGTATTTTCCCAACTACGAGTAGTCTTATTTCCATCAAGATGGTGGTTCTTCATAGTTGGGAGAAAGGAAATTTCAACAGCCAGCCACCAAAAGAACAAAGTCGCTGGTACCTCTAGTGATTTTCCTAGATCCCTCCATTTCTTGTTATTGTTTGTGAATAAGCTAGAAACAAGACCCATTGGATAAGGGATGCATTTGGCAATAATCTATTCAGGGGTAATTAGCGAGGTTTGATTTGCAAAGTATCTTTTGATCACTCACTCGTGCAAGCCATAATGTCAACCAAACAATCTCTAACCAGATGCCAAACCAGAAAAGCTTCACACCTCCGACCGTGGCCCGTTCAAAAAGAAAGAGTCCAAACAAGACGGGGATTAAAAGTAACAACGTCAACGGCGTGATATAGACGAAATATCGAACTAAGACGCTAGAGCCGTGAACCTTCTTGAAGAATTTTGCAAGTGCTGTGGCCGGATGTGCTGGTGGTCTGTATATTTTAGTCTTCTCGTGGATAGGGGTAGTATCAACGTCGAAATCATCAATAGGTTCTCTATTAGGCCCCCTGGATCTCGACCTCATTGATCTACCCATACTGCTTCCATCACCCTTTTCTTCATTCGATATCACACGTTCTACTCGAAGCATTTCAAGGTCATCGTCAAGTCGCCGTGACTGTTCCCTTTGTGCAGCGGCAGATAAAGGCGATTGATCTCTCTTGCTCAGGTATTCCGGGTCATGAGAAAAGCTCGTGGCAACTCTCAAGTGATTGTTATCGACGTGTTGGTCTTGATGGTTATGATGATCATGATGGTCATGATGATATTCGTATGGATGTTCATCTCCCAAAGTTCCATCTTCATCAGACGAGCGACGGTCCTGGCGAAAAGGTTCCTGCTGGTGAGTATGGTGAGGATCGGCTGGAAATGCAGGAAACGAGAATTGTTCCTTTTCTTGAATTGGCGTCGACATGATGTCGGGATTTTAATTTGAAGTTGATTAAACGTTGAACAGATTTCCCAAATGTTGTACTATGGGGTAGATCTGTTTACAAAACTGGGCCCAAGATCAACCCCACGATCTCATCGAAGATAAGGGGGTATTCGATCAATAACAGATCTGTGAGGGATCTTGACGTGATGAAGGTGACTCTAATCCAGGGATTGAAATCTCCGTAGGCAGATTAAATGGAGTCGAGAGAGTCGGAAGTGATACGAGACGTTTTGTCGCAAGGTCGATCTGATCAAATTTGGATGAAGATCGTACGTTCTCGACGAGGCGATAGGAAGTTATGAAGAATATATGGGGATTTGAAAAAGAAATGGGAATGTATGTACGAAGGAGGAAGAAGAGGGAAACAAGAAAAGGGACCAAAGCGAAAGTGACGAGATGATGATGATGACGATGGAAGTGAGCGTGAAACTGACAATGACAGTGGAGAGAGATTCGTTGACAGTGGAGAAGAGATGTGGAGGATGTAACGAATGGAGGAGGGGAGGGAAGGGAAGGGAAGGGCTTGAATGATTAAGTAATTGAATGTGACGATGAATGTGAAAATGGATATGAACGGAAATAGAAATAGGAATAGAAATCGAGGTAGAAAATCGGAATATTGTAATTTGCCTTTAAACACACATAGTATCTATCTACCCTCCCTCCCTCCCTACCTACATACCTACCTAGTTATCGAATATTGAAATTTGATAGGAAGATCTCATCCTCAAACCATATTCCACCATCTACTCAATCGGGGCGTTTCCATAAATATCCATTTCGACCTTCTCTTGATTGGATCCAGACAGGTCCCGAATCCCGAATCCAGTGAAGTTTTTTTTTTCTTTCGTTTCTTTTCTTTTGCCCG